CATCCATGTTATAATTGGTCCCTCGACTGGCGATCGGACTGTTCCGAAACTTTCGAGGCAGGCTACGACGGAGAACGAGCATCGGATCGGCCCACACAGGCAGCCACGGACTGTTTTCAACGTCTTCGCCAGCACGAAAGACCGCTCAAATCGCAGCTCAAACCACAGTTCTTTACATGTTCACGCGTCGTATTCGTTCACGGCTTATCTGTCGCCCACATGCAACCCTGTATGCCACACATGACGCTAAGAAGATGTGGGGGTGCGATGTGCACTATACTCATAGCATAACTCAGGGTTTCTAGACCCAACATTACGGTTTTGACGTTCCTTAAAGAGTGTACCAAGAGAGAACGAAGATCGGTCGGCCCTCAGGATGCAATTTGACGCGAGTTTCGATATGAAGACAATGACGATCACGTCCATCCGGCCGAATCCGACAAAACAAAACGGACCGACTGCATAAGCAGAGTCACCCAACATGACATACGATCAAGCCCCCAAGGCTTTGTAGATCTGCGTCTCAACGTCGAACCACAATCCAAGCACCTTGGGATCGCCAAACGGCAGGATCTGACTGCAAACGATTCCGCCGACTCCCTTCTCTCTGTCACACCACCACCAGCAGTTCGGGAGCCCAGCCCAGAACCCAGTACTCTTGGACCGACCAGTCGGGCCTCCGTTGGACAGCATGAACGTCAGACCCCAGCCTTGAGGAGGCTTACCCTCGACTGGATATATGTCTGGAATAGCGTTTGTGAGCTCAGGCTTGGCCGCTGGGATTCCCTGACGACCAAAGTCGGGGAACTGTGATATTTGATTCGTGAACATGAGGTCGACAGTCTCTTTCTTGAGGAGTTGGGCGCCGGTCTTGGCCGACTTGCCGTCGTTGAGAAGTGTTGCGATGATTTCTTAAACTCTGTTAGTGGTGTCGTGTACATGTTGCGATATGGGCAACTTACGCGCATAGTCTGATGGTGTTGCGAAAGCACCTGCGCCTCCGCTGTTCAGGATGCCGCCAATCTCGTTGCTCGAAGCCTTCAAGGGCTTGAGGAGTAGATGATCTCGCTCGACCAAGCTGCCATCTTGGTTTCGTTGATGCATGGACGCCAGTCGCTTTTTCATATCCTCGTTGGGGAACATGGTTATGTTCTTCAACCCTAGCGGCTCGTAGATGTTCTTGAGGCAGTAGTCGTTTAGCGACATGCCAGTCTTGCGTTCGAGTGCCAGGCCAGCGAAGTCGATGTTTACGCCGTACTGCCAGCCCTCGCCCGGTTGAAAGGTCAGCGGCTGAAGTATGTCCTTGACGTCTCCGGAGAACTCATCAAACCCGTCCAATACGGCACACAGAGATTCGTTGAAGAATGTGTAGCCGAAGCCAGCTGTGGGTCATGATTAGTGAGAGGATTCAACTTTGCCAGGACGGCCTCGTACCGGTATGCGTTAAGAGCATTCTCAGTGTTATCTTCCTCTTCTTGTCCACCAGACTACCGTCCTTTTGCAATACTTTCGTCTCTTTCAGCTCGGGGACCAATCTCTCTATCTCGTCTCCATCATCCAGGTGCAACTGTCCTTGCTCAACAAGCTGCATGCACGCCAGTCCGGCGATCATCTTAGTGCAAGATGCGATCCAAAACACGTTGTCCAGAGTCATGTTCTCGTTGCTTGCAACACCACGTTGGCCGGCGGCGTGCGCAAAGAGTTCTTCGCCATCTTTCCCTATAACAACGACGCTTGTTCCTGGGATAGATGTCTTTGGGTCCGCGCAGGCTGCATCAACGGTCTGCTTCAGGTTCTGGATGACTTCAGCGGGCAGCGGCATGGTGAGATATTATAGTGGTACGGGTTTACAGAAAAAAAGCTTCGCGTATTCGATAATACGGTAGGAGCTGTCGATATGTACTTCTGGTACATCTATATAATGGTACATGATCTGCGGCACCGGACGTGCGGGCGTGCGGGGTGATTGCCATTCGGTGTCGCCATCGGGTACTGCCCCTCACGTCGCACATCGTGACAAAGTCCAAAACTTTGGCAATGAAACTCCAATCAAAAACTCCAGCCATGAAGATCATCCTGAAAGTTCCATGCATAGGCAGGCCAAAACGAAACCGATGTACGCTCTCGGTGGGTGCGGGCTACAGCGCGCGATGACAGCTAGCGTGCTAAGATGGAGCTCGGCCGAGGCTTCTGCAAGCATCCAAGCGTACATTTGCGACGTGTCTGCTTTCGCAGATCTGGAGTCGTACTATACTACCTTCTCTAAGTAGGTCGCGGGGAATACTTGAATTCTCACCGAGTTTGTCTAGCAGTGCTTAGTTGGGCATCACTAGATGTTTGCTCAATCTGGTTCCTGTTTTGTGTACTTCCCATGATATGCCCCCGTCGAGCGTCTTCTTCATGCCCATCTATGATGGTCACTCAGTTTACACCCTCGGATGATGTTCACGTTGGAACCAAATGATGATGTGGCATAGCGTTTAGTTGAAAGTCTATCGAAAAAGAGGCTGACTATCTAAAATGAGCGGATGACTATTCTGAATTGTCCGCGTTCTTCGCTATGATAAGAGTAGAAGTACTCTGCTTCTTCATGACCATTTAGTTAGTGCGCAGACGATCCACAGTTATTCGCGAAGTCCAGCATGGCCTCCCTTGATTCCATAGCGATACAAGTCAGGTCGTGCGCGAGTGCTGAGTCCTTTCTTCCACATTTCCAGACCTGTCGCTATCCGTTCCTAAGCGCATATCGATCTCAGTCATTCTTTCCTGCATGGCGGACACACGGTTTTTGTAATTGTACATGAGTTCGAAGACAACTAGAAAAATGTTCAGGCAAGTCGCGATTGCCAATGATACGAAAGGGCGTACAGCCATGGGCCCGCCAGGAGTAAGTACGCCCGAGAAATCGAAAGCACCATACAATGTACAACCAGTACATATTGTAGGAGGAACAGCGCTCAAGTATGGATGAGTGAAGGGGTTGGCGAAGGTTGTGAAATTTGGGGAACCCAACGTCGAGACATTGTAAGTCCAATGAGGTCCTGATTCTTCTTGATCTTCTGTATCGCCTGTCTCTATATCTTTGAATACATGCCATCCCATGCAGAGGACGAGGCCCGCCAGTTTGAGGATAATGGCTAGCATTATACCAAGTCGAGTCGGAAGGACCGTTGTCCAGTCTGTCGATCCAGGGTTCATGCGATGCATGTCCGCTCCATAAGCTATTATGAAGAGAGCGAGAATGACCAGCGATAGACCAAGCTTCTGTGCATAGCGCCATGGGTAGCGTTGTATAATGCTTATCCAGAATCTTTCCTCGTTGATCATTCCAGAAACGTCAATTATTGCCGAATCTACTCCGACCGCACGTCGAAAATACGTATCCTTGAAGAAGTACCAGCCCATACAAGCGCCGATACCGATATAGACTAGAACCGTACCCAGAACGCCGGCGAGAATGTTCGAGCAACCGATGGCCTTACCTGGATAAGGGTCCATCGTCCAGTAATCAAACGAGTGAGAGAACGTGAGACCTCCAAGAAGAATTGCATATAGACCGGGTATGTAAAGGTATCGCCACGGTATGTTGTTGTGGACTTTGAGCGTTATGCGGTTTGATGGTAAGGTGTCTTTCATCGTTGAATGTGCGATTTGTTGTGATTGGAATGATCTTCTGGTGAATTCAAGCACTTAGAGAACTTGAGCATTAGTAGTGCGTTTGCAAGGAGGTGCCGAGATACCGGGACGCTCGTATGAGATCTTCTTCATACGTCATCTGACTCTACGAAGAATACGCGCGCCTATGAAGATGCAGCTGGGATAAAGGCGGCAATACGGCAATGCGGCAAAACTACATCGCGAGAGTAGAGGAGATCAGGCGACTGGTATTCGGGTAGGTCGGTCCTTTGCGAAGGTGAAGTCGTTATTGGCCTCGGGTGGTGCAGGCGCTGCAGGCTCGGCGCATTCCAGTTGGTCGCATGTCGCAATATTCGAGACAGAACCACGACCCCAACTGCAAAGCTTATCCTAGATCATGGTACACGCTTGCTCATTGGCCTTCAGCCCATACCGCCAGACGTAGAGGTGCGCGTACAGTCGTCAAAGGTTTGGTGGTCGCACAATAATCTCGAGACAGCGATGGGCGCCCCATCTGGCAGCGCCAAGCTAAGCAACACCCAGTTGGCAGGTACAAAGCCACAAAGCCCGCGGAGCGCGACCGTGTCACTAAATCACTAGTTATGTGCGTTCGCGTCTTCTGTCACTACGTACATTTACGACCTCACTCCGTTACAGCTCGACGCAGCGAAACCTTGGCGAGCCTTTGTCGCGGGGAATGGCTTCAGCCGTCACCCCCTGCATCTTCGCGCGCGCGCACACACACAGTTCTACGAAAACTCTTCCTCAATCCACCACCAGGGTAGTGGGATCAATGAAAAGCTCGAAAGCAGACCAGCAAAAATTGCCCCGCCGAGATCCCCGAAGGAAGCTCGTAACAGTCCCATACCGCGCTGTGCAATGCAGACGAGACTGTTAGATGAACCCAATCTTTGAGCTGGGTCATCGCAAGAAGGTAAGTATGCAGAATAAAAGAGGAGGGAACAGCGGTATTTAAGCACTCAGGAGAAGGGCCAGTGCTGGGTGCATGTGACCTTTGCACTAGAGAGGCTGACCGCTCTCTGGCGTGTGCGGAAAACACTGCATTGTGGTCCAGCTCCACCGGGCACTGCTTCCGGGTGGCCTAAGCGGTTGTGTTCCGTCTCTGCCGAAGCCGCCATCGTGAAGATTCTCCCAAGCTTTTCCAAGGTCTGATCTTGGCTGAACGTCATCGAATGTAGTAGAGCGATGAATTCGATGAACAATTTTCACACGCGTCGGCCAAGAGTCGGCATCTACGATACGATCGAGCAGACAGGAGATCAGATCGCGTAGACGATGGAGTATAAGTTGTTGGTCGCGGTGGAACCGCAGAGCCAAGTTACGTCTAACCAAACTCCTTCAGAATGATCTTTGGTGGTGCAGACCGGCTTTCTCTCCTTGCGTTCGCATCGTGCGTCTCGCTTGGTAAGGCAGCAACGCTGCTTACCGGTGGGACAGTGATCGGTTGGGACACTTCTGCTAATTCTCTCGATGTCATCAGGAACGGTTCTGTGTTGGTCGAGAACGACACCATAACCGCTGTTTTCTCTGGATCATACAATGGCACTCTACCGGTGGACCTGGAGGTCGTCGATACCACCAACGACATCATCTCCCCAGGCTTCATCGATACCCACCGTCATAGCTGGCAAACGGCTTTCAAGACCCTGGGCTCGAACACGACCTTGATGCGATACTTTGAACGATATGGAACCGACTCGCCCGCCAATACGTTTTTCACGCCTGAGGATGTGTACATTGGCCAGCTCGTTGGGTTGTACGAGGCCCTGAATGGCGGTGTCACTACCATTCTGGACTACCCTCATTGCACCTGGTCCGCAGCGCACGCTATGGCCGCGCTGAATGCGACGTTCGAGAGCGGTGTTCGGACTGAATTTGCCTACTACTTCCAAGACTACGCGAACTTTACCGTCGAGGGGCAGATAGACCTCTTCCGCGACTTGGTCAACGATGCGCGCTTTGACAGCTCGCCTACAAAGCTAGGCATCTCATACGATGGTTTCGCTAGCACCAACAGGAAACAAACGCGCACAATTCTTGATCTAGCAATGTTAGTATCCACTCCACGAGAACGAGCACATAACTAACTGCTACCAGTGAGAAGAATGTATCCGTAGTTTCAACGCACGCGAACGGCGGTGTTTATGGCGCTCCAAATTTCCCCGAGGTCTTGCACGAATTCGACTTCCTCAACCAATCCATCCCGATCGTTTTCGCACATGCCAGCTATCACAGCGCGACCGACGCGCAACTCCTGCGACAGTACAATCACTACATATCCACCACCCCAGAGTCTGAGATGCACTACGGTCATCTGCACCCAAACAGCCACCTCATCATGGACCAAGCGGCTCTAGGCATCGACACACACTTCACGTTCTCGTCGGATATACTGACACAAGCGCGATTGTGGCTCCAGAGTGTCAGGAAGATCTTCTACCGCGAAGTCGTTGATCGACGCCAGCTTCCGGCCGAGAATCCCATGTCTGTCAACCAGGCTTTCCTTCTCGCGACTCGCAGCGGAGCGCTCGCACTGCGACGATCCGACATTGGTATCCTGGCACCTGGAGCCAAAGCAGACCTACTGGTATGGAACGGGCGCGCTCCGAGTGTACTTGGCTGGACCGATCCGATCGCTGCCATTATGTTGCACGCGAACGTAGGCGACATCAAGCATGTTATGATTAATGGAGAGTTCAAGAAGCGAGACTGGCAGCTTACCGTACCTGGGTACACGGCGCTTCAGGATCGCTTTTTGGAGAGTGCAAGGAAGATTCAAGATCACTGGAGGGAGATGCCGCTGCCAGTTACCGAGGGCGAGGCTGACAACGGGGTGGCTTTTGAGAAGCCGATGATGGCAGATATAGAGAGAGGTGATGGAACTGGGTACGGACCTTTGTTCGTGTAGCGCGACTTTGGGTATACTTGGGATAGATAATGACTTGTAATGTAGATGCTTAATTAAGAACATAGTATATAAGACTGCTGTTCACGGGCCCAGTCTTGTTTGACTCGTTCGTCTCCGGTATGGCAGCGAAACATGGTAAGAGCCTAGTACTTTCCACCAACGTGCACTTTCCACAGGAGCCGTGGATACTATGAGTGACACCGCTAGTCTTCGAAGAGAGTTCGAACCGCCCGTAGCCATTCATCGGGATTGTGCTCCTCCCTCGCCGCAGGTATAGTTCTATGATCGTCCCATAGATTACCTAGCTCATACCAATACATCTCACGCACATCCCACACCCCTGATCGAGACCTCATAGCACGCAAGAATCGCTTTGTATTTCTGGAAGCGAGTTGCTTTCTATCCGGGATCGAATACTTAAGCTGAATGAGTGTGATCTGTAACGCCTTCTTGACCCGTAATAGACCTGTGAGATCTTCCCAAACATCCTCGTTGTTGATGAAGCTGTAGCCGCTGTAATTCTCATAAGTCCAGTCATACATTGAGATTCGATGGGTTCTTTCGTACACGCGGCTTTCGTCGAGTAGAAGGTTGAGCTGCTGTAGATGCGGAGCGTTGGCGATTGCGTTGAGAAGCTGACGGATCGCCTGATTTGGTGAAAAATCCATCCGACAGAGGCTTGGATTGATGGCGTTTGGTTGCAGATCGTAGTTAGATGCGCTCGACGACCGATACAGCCGGTTTTGAAGGTGGTCGACGTATCCCCGGAACGGTGCTGGGATCGTGAGCTCTTTGAGATGACGAAAACTAGATCGGGGGAGGTAATCTGGGATGCTGCAAGTCATGATCTCGGATATGCATCGGAACTGGTTTTCGCCATATAAAACATTCGTTGCCTCGGCGTGAATTCGCGTACAAGTGCGTAACAGGGCAACACCAGCCGGTTTGTCATCGCAAGACCGAAGACTGATGGTAGGGTAGCGAGATAACACGATAGACCCCGACGATACGAGGGCGAATCGATATATTTCTACCCTAAGCTCCGCAGGTAGCGAGAGGAAGGGTGATAAGCCCCTGCTAGTACTGCCGTCTTGAGAAGCGTCGCAGCTTCCGGTAGGGTTTGATTGGGCCATGTCGTTGGTATTCGATGTAGGGTCAGTGTAGTTAATTGTAGTGTTTAAAGATGTATGAGGATCGGACGCGACGGAGAGTCTTTGAATTGGGACGAGAAAAGATTTTCGAAGGCAGTGCTATTTGGTAGCGAAAAGATACTCTGCCTCTGACTCACATCGCTGTGTTCGCGAACTTGTACTTTAGTACCGTTACTTATGTACTATAGTACTCCTAATAACCTATCGCAACGAGCGACTTACAGCTTCTAAAATCTACATATATCTATGCAATTAGGTCCTCTTGAAAAGAGAAGTATTGTCAAACCAAGGAGCTTGATAGCGAGACATCTCCACATGTACCGGCCGTCCAATACAGCTACGCGTTTTCCACTCCCTTGTCAGTGCCTTTGTTTCCCCGTGCGAGTACAAAGATGGTTCTTCGTACAACCTGTCGAGACTATGGGACGTATAAACACTCATGATCCGCAATACCAGCTTCGTGAATCCGCAAAATGTGGAGCTGAACGCAGATGCATCTCTCACTGTGCCTCATACCATCAGATTCAGCGGACTTGCCTCGGTTCGAGGGGTGGGAGAAGGGTAAACAGCACTGAAAATCAGCATTGAAATCAGGAATAGAAAAACCTGCGGACATTAGGACATCGTGCGACAGTCTGATACGGCGAGGCTTACGGGCAACCCAAGGAATATCGCATGCAGGCGTGTGACTGGATCGGGAACAATAGCCCAGATGCCATAGGAGGCAAGGTGGACCAAGAGGGGTACAGGGAGAGCTAGGAATACTCGGTTGGTCGTTGGATGTGTGGCAGAGGCGAGTTTCGAGAAAGCGGCGGAGGTAGCTACAAGGAATATCATGAACAACTATATATGCTTAGTACTTCCTCTGGCTAGTAAGAGCGAGTATGCGCTCAACTGGTAGTTCCAATAAGCAGATCGGGTATATCTGCGACTCATCGGGTGTGCCGGATAGGGTGACGTAAATGCTCAAAATGATCACAAAAAAGGTGCACATGAAAGCTATGGTTTCAAGAACGCTGGTGATAGTACTGTCATCACCGCCGGGGGTGGTGACAGGCCGGGGGGCTGAGCGTCCGCCTCTCTCGGATGCGGGAGGTGTAGCTATCGGGGTGGGCATCTCGCTGCTGAGTCGTACCATTCTTAAGGAGATCACCCACAAGGGGGTGGTGAAGGAAGATGGGGATGATCGATGGCCTGAAGTCAGGAATTTTGACTGTGCCATACATTCTTCAACATTTCCCGAGGGTGCTGTTCTTTGGTAGCGGGAGGCTCGCGCTTCTGAGGGACCGCGGGCGAGCCAATGACTCTGCGCATATCTACCAGCGATTGCATGGCGAAGAGGCTGCACTATCATAGCGTGCACTTCTTCGAACGCGCCCACATGTATGTCAGGATTCGCTGTAGTTCACCAGAGCTGAAAATAGCTACAATATTTCAGCTTCGAAGGAAGTAACGTCCCTCGCTTAGTACTTGTCATAATCTGCGCTGCAGTCTCTCCATTCACAAAATCTCGTAATGCTAAACGACCGATGACATGTACTCCAAGCTTGCCTGTGCAGCGGCCTTTACCTCGTCATCGAAATCTCCTTGAGACAACTCCTCCAGACGTCTCCTCCAAAACGACCATCGCTCAGCTCCATTCTGGAACTCCCTTGCTTCATCTGGCAGTCGACCCATTGTCAAATCCCCCAATCCTTTCGTCACAACTTCGTCGTAGATTTCGCTCCCATTGTACTTGAACATGAATGAGACGGCGGGAATATGCCAGTCAAGCTTGATTTGATCATAAGCAGTAGCTTCATCTGGAGCAAGCTGCTCGTCGCTCTGGTCGATCTCTTTCTCGAGCGCCCAGATGATGAATCGAATCATTTTCCCATCGACCCTAAACACGTGATTCGCATACAACTGAGCTTCGAGGTCCTTCATCTTCAAATAAGATTTCCGTCCCAATTCGACCAAGGTTGAATCGGAATACTGCCGGCAAATTTGGCCTGGATGGATGTCTGAGAGAGCCCTCTCGTGCCAGGCCATGCCGAAGTACGAGAATCGTGCCCATGGGAGCTTTTTCCCCGCAGCAAGAGCCTCGCCTTGGTGGATGTAACCCGGCACCTTTCCGATCGCATTCAGTAGCGTAAAGATGTCTGGGACACGTGTGGGTGGCCATTCCATGAGGGCGTCTATGATGAGTCCCCATAAGTCATCAGCAGCGAGGACCTCGTCAGAATAGCCTCCTAATGCTGGTACAGGCGAGGTGGAAATTGGGTGTGTCATGGATAATGCCGCCTCATCTGCATTCATGTGGCCATCGTGGTATGCTTTCAACGCGTCGACCTCCGTAGCAAGCCAGTCACGAAGGCTTGGGTCATGGTTCTGGGAATGACGCTGCTTCTGTTGCTCAAACCATGCAGGGCTGACATTGTGCTCGTCTTCTTTGGGTGATTCGAAGTGGTCGTGGTATAGCACGCGGACGTTGGGCTTGCATGATCCCCGGCCTCTACCCCGGCCTCTATAGTTGCCGGAGCCTCTGCCTCTGGACATAACGATGGGGAAGAAGAGAAAGAGAATGAAGTCGTCGTGTTGTGCGGCGTGAAGGGCAAAGCATTGCGGCACAGTTAGGCGTCCTCCCTACGCGCAGGCTCCACAATCGTAAACCCAATACTGCTGATCATGGAAGCATTGCGACGTACGCGAAAGCGACCACAACGTTATGACGTCGTCGCGTTGATACTCCCGAGGTCACCTGGGCAGGCTTGGGCAGTCACGATGCACGAGCGCGAAGCAGCGTGTCGCGCATGCAGGTCCAACAATGATCGCCGCAGCCAGGCGCCAACGCCACGATTTCGCACCCTTGCCACCCACGCGATTCTAGGCCCAGTGCACCGCCACACCCGCCATTTATCATCCCATCTACCCTCTTCCATCCCATTCTCCCCCCATCACATCCACACCCACCCGTCCCATCCATCTCTGCCAACAGGCGGCAAGACACGGCACAGTCAGGCATCAGGACACGTAACACGTTGCACCAAACGCGCTAACACGCTGTCACATGGCCTGGCATGGCGCCCAATCAGGTCGCGACAACGACGTTGTTGGGCTGTTGGGCGAGGAGGAGAGGCGGGTGGGAGTCATAATTCCGTTCAACGTGGCTGCTGTGGCTACATTTGCCTCAGCGGGATGCTACCCAAACTCGAAGCTGAAGCCTGTGTTGAGGCGAAGTGACTAAGAAGGCGAAGTCCGCTCGGAGTCCGTCGGATCATGACATCGAGAAGGCAACGACTATAATCACCACGCCCAAAGGAAGCATAAGCCGGAAGCTGTGGAAGGCGCTTTTGAGGGCGCAAATGACGTGATGCTACACAGTACATACTCTGGTCTTCGCTATGCATCTCGTACTCGGATCTCCTACCCGTCACGGCATGAATAGCGGCACGGTTGCCTGGGCATATGCGAACGTCTGTCTAGGCAGATAGCGCACGCGCCCTTTCTGTGTAAGACATCGCGGGTAAGGCAATCCTGCTAGGCACCAAGGGCGTTGCGAGCGAGGCTAAGGTATGCATTGTTTTTGGGGGCCAAAAGCCAAACTCAACCTCATGCCGCGGCAGACGAGAAGACCACGAAAAGTGCAAGAAGGAGCGAGACTGTCGAGTGTCTATCTTTTAAATTACAGTACAATAGTGTAGAGTGGCATATTCCATCTATAGATTTGAGCGAGGTATCATCTGTCCGTATCCCCCCTTCCATCCCCTATCCAACCCATTCCATCGCAGTCTTTGGTATCATAGCTATCGTGGGTGAACATGTGCCAGCCATGCGTAGAGTGCGTAAGTAGTAAAGAGATATTACAGTTTAGGAGTGTTACAAGGAGAACAAAAACGCTCAAGTGATATGTACAGTGAGCGACAGTGAAGTTATGGAACAGAGAATGAGGCTAAGCGGAAGAACGCCGGGGAAATGCATCGAGTGAGAGCAACGCAAAGTTATCGTCATCACCTATGACTCTGTTGAAGAGCCATGACTGCTTGCTCGAGCTGCCGTAACCTCGAGTCCTTCTCTTCATTCTCCTGTCGGAGACGCTTGATCTCAGAGCGCATCTCATCGTTGCCACGGTCCGAGAGGCCAGAGTCAGAGCCAAGTCGCTTGCGCTTCAGACTCATCTCATCTTCCTCGCGGTAGTCCATGGTGCGGTTGTACGGTGACTCCGAGGTGCGTGACTCAGGAATGGGAGAGCCCCCCTCCATCTCACGCCTGACCATGTCGCGTCGGATGATCAAGCCATGCATATCTGCCGACATTGATGTTCTGCGGTGAACGCGGCGGACATGCTCAGCGAGGTTCTCCTTCCGCGTGAAGCCGGCGCCTGAACTGCGTTTGCAGTCGTGGAACGGGCAGAAGAGGGACTTCTTGGTACCGCCGTGCATCTTGTGAACTTCGCGCTCGTGGCGAAGAAGGCCACCGCTGTAAGTGAAACCTTGAAGCTTTTCGCAGCCCTTGACGTTGCACTTGTAAGGCCTGTCATGCTTGTCCATGTGTTTGCTGTAAATGTTAGTCTCTGGTCGTATAAGTGTAGTGACACGATTACTCACCTCCATTCGCACTTTCGGTCAAAAGATGTACCGCGACATTCTTGATACTTGCACACCATCTTGCCGTCTTCGTTGCGCGGTGGTTCTTCGGCGCGTTTATAGCTGTGGTTCTTCCGTAGTGATCCGTCGTCATCGCCGTCTTGCGAGGAGTCTACAGAGAGTCCCCTGCTATGGCTTCGAGGCGGGCTTGTAACAATGATTTGGCGTTCGCCAGCGGTCGGAGAGGTCATGGGTGATCGAGCGCTCATGCTGACCGGGGTAGGCATATCGGTGAGGGAGCTGATGGAGATGTTCCGCTTGTGCTCGTGCGGCACTTGCATGGAAGTAGGGTTTGGCGAAAGCTCAGTCATGATGTCTGGAAATCCAAGGTTGAAATATTGAGGGTTGTAACTGTGTTGCTGGGCCTGAGGCTGGCGGCTTGGTTGATATATACCGGGAGACGCGAAGGCAGTTTGTGGCTGAGTAAAGAGATCGCTTCCCGCCGCTCCGGTGACTCTAACTCTCGGATCTTGAGTAGCAGTGATCAGATGACGCGGACTGTCTTGAGGTGGCAACGTATATGAGTGCCAAGGAATTTCGTGGTCGGAGCCCAGATGCGGAAAGGCCGTTAGAGGTGGCGCAGCAATGCCTTGGTCTTGAGGCGAATAAAAATTAACGGGCGGAACTGCCTGGAAGGTTGGTGCGGATACGCCATAATAAGTATCTGGATTTGGATTTGTTAGTCGCAGCAGCGAACAAGTCCAGCCTGAAACCCAGGGTAGGCAGAGAAGTCGTGACTCAACTCAAACGGACACGGGACACTAGGCACTTACCTGGGTGCGGCTCTGGGTCCGCTCCTTCTCCAGCCTGACTAACCCGCAAGACTGGAACTGGCAGCCTGTCCGCAAGACCATTCAAACTCAGATCGGGCTCCCAGGTTTCCGTGTTTCGTGCCTGGAATGGAGCATGGTCCACATGGACGTTTGTCGCAGGCGTCGCATGTTGCAGCTGCTCGCCAATCAGCTCTTGGCCAAAGCTGAGGTCTGTAATGCATTAGCACCAATCGGGATAACCACAAACCTTCTTCGTGTTTTCACGCTCGACCAATCGCAACCAGTCATCCACCTGAGCAGAAGCCTCATCGGGCGGAAAGAAATGTAACACATACAGTCTGACGATGCATCGGTATCCCACGAAAGATTGAGGTTGTGTAGCACGTTGTTGTACGGCACGCGGTCTTTGCCAGTTCCCTCGTAAAACATCCAACAAACTCCCCACAGAACGGCTAGCGACGGTTTGATAGTCCATGGGAAGGTGCTGAGCGCTTGTGGCTTCTCGGCGAACTCTGTAAACCAGGCCAGGAGTTTGCGCTGCCTCTTGTCGTGATCGCCGCAGAGCAACTCCTCCAGGGCCTTGCGTGCCAAGGACTCAATCAGGTCTGTCTGTAGCCGCAGCAGTAGATGTTCATAGTTTGCAATGAAGTTCTCGTCAAGGATCAGTCCGAGGTCAAGCCCTTGGGCCAAGAGCCAGTCGTCACCATACTGCCGGCGACACCCCGCAAGCACGTTGATCGCTTCGTGTACTGCCACGAGGAGCTGGATAGTTTCGTTCATGGAACGAGCCTCCAAGATCGACGCGTTGTCGTGTTTGAGAAAGAGCCTGTCGCTGTCCGCGATAGACGAGAACGCGTTTCCCGCTACATGGAGTTTGCCGTCGACGTAGCGAAGCATACTAGGCCCGCAGGTTCAGTAGTTGAAACTAAACAAAAGCTTCCGTGAACGTACTGTTGCACCTCATTCCCTAGGTTTCGACTTGCGGGAGCAGCCGAAGCCGGCGTCTGCAGGTTGCACGACGGTCGAGTGAACGTCGCACGCTTCTGACTCTTGCAGATGCGATTGGCGACCCGACGCGACTGCTTCGCATCCTGGACGCTGATCCGTGATAGATTCTGGGCGACACTTCGGAGGCTCGGCGCGAGGCTGATGCCAAGAGGGCTCGCATCGATTGAGCCATGCTGCACACGCGGCTTGACACGACGACGAAGCTGTTTGACAAATTGGAGGATTCTAAAGGTGAGGATAATGCTCGTTTGCTTGTTGCGCTGCTGGATCGCCATTGCTAAGCGAGACGGGCGGTCCGAAGACGTAAGAAGAGACGACGTGTACTCAACCTTCGCCTCTCGCGTTCGCAGCTAGCATGTATATACTTGGAAGCATCCAAGGGCGGAGCACATTGCAGAGTGCCTGCCGGTGAGCCTGCCTCGATGAGAGGAAACTGTCAAGCCACGCTGTACGGCCACACGCGGCGTGATTGGCTGGCTCCCGGCTTGTTGAAGTGCTCAGCCACAACAGAATGCCGCTTGATAACCTGGGGCATCAGCGCCAGACTCGACACCACTTCTCCCACCCTATCGTTTGGACAGCCTGGCAAAAGACAAGGTCACGCATTGAGTGAGTAGCGTGGCGCAGCGGTTCTCCTACCTTACACGAACACCATATGGGCAGGCCCCCGCAAATGTGCCGTGTTGCAGTCGTTTGACCGCCATCGTTTTGTCGTTGCCTTGAGAGACAGCCTGTATTCCCACAGCACCGGTGTCGTCTTCATGCGGAACGTTCAGCGACCATCGGAAAGTATCGCTGACCGCTTGACGTCTGTGAATCCCTCGGGATCTGCGGCTAGGATGTAACGAGGTCCCCCCGCCATGATGGTGTTGCGGCCTTCCGAAACAAGGTGGAACACAGATCCTGCATGACGTCTCATAACTGGGGATGGTTGCGGCTGATCTTCGGTAAAGAGGACTCGAACGATAAGGACGAAGCTTTTGGTGATTATGGACGTGATGTGGGAAAAAGAAAGCATGTCGGCATTGAATTCGCGATGGTTGGATGCTTCCGATATCATTTATCTCTCACGTGGCATGAGCGACTCTCTCCCCACCAACTTCAAGTCGCCAACTCTCCTGTCGGACACAAC